TTTGACTGCTGTGCTGGAAGAGGATTTCGTAAGAGGCAGACCAGCTTTCAATAATGCCGTTTCCTTTGTGGGTAATAAAAGGCTTGTAGGCACTCCAGAGCAGGCTGCACTTTATGCCAGTGCTAAACGTATAAAGCATTAGTTTGCCTTGTTACTGCTGCGTGGTGTGGTGTAAATTTCCTGGATGTGAATCGGGCCAAAGAGAGCAAAAAACAGCCATCGTGTTCCAGCATACTGCTGCGCAGTCGCAGCGGTAGTTACGCTTGGCCATCGCACTTCTGAGTTTTCCTTTTACTGTTCACAGCTTCACTGAGACAGAAGTAAACAAAGTGGTCCTGTTCTTCCCATCTTGTTATTTGTCATCTCAGACCTAAAAAGGGAAAAACAGCCGTCTCTCAAACCAGCTTTTAAAGACACATGTGGTTTTTGTTAAGACAATTTACTTTCTTTTGCAGAAAAACAATCCTTCCCCTTTTTTTTGTGTGTGTGTGTGCTGAACTTATCCCTTCATTTCTCACTTCATAATGATTTCTGATCTTTATTTTTTCCAAACAGAGCCTCAAAACCAGAAATATAAATACTTCCTTCTTTATTTTCCATGTGTGGCCTTGTACAGCTCGAGATGTTGCAGTGCAGAAGATCGAGACGATTATAAAAGAACAGTTTGCTGTTGAAATGAAGAGTAAAGAACATGAAATTGAAGTTATAGATCAGGTATAAAGGTTTTGTCCCTAAAAATACAGAAGACGCTGGCGTATGGGGATTTGGGCGGATTGCTGCGGTGGTTATCCATCACTATACATTGCCTCTTCTTTTCCTAGCGCCTGATTGAAGCGAGGAGGATGATGGATAAGCTGCGTGCCTGTATTGTGGCTAACTATTACGCATCTGCTGGTCTCCTTAAAGCTGGAGAGGTAAAGATTCCTTTGGAATAATACAACTTCAGGGACTATTTGCTAAGGAAGATGTGTAGGTCACTGGCAGTTCAGCTGATGTTTGGCTTTGAGGTGATGTTTTCTAAAAGGGTGGAATATGAACTGGAAATGGGATGGCAGTGGGAGGGGAGAGCTGGGTGTCACTGACTGGGTGTTGGGTACTCAGCAAAGATGAGCCCTCAGTGAGCAGTTGAGAAGTCGTTGAGCAGCTCTTGGTTCTGGTTTCTGAAATACCCTGTGTTTTCTGTCAGTGAAGAGCGTGAGCTGGGTTCTGATCTTTGGAAGTGCTTTTATCCCATGTCACCCTGTGTCAGCAAGAGCTTGTACTGTCCCCTGTTCTTTACTGGTTCTGCCATGCAGGGTGTTTGTGTTTTCCTTGCTGATTTTCACACTTCCCAGAAATAATAACTTTTGCCATTGTTTCCAAGTGTTCACAAAACTTAACTCGTGTGGCCTTGCTTTGTTTAGTTTTTCTCAAGTTTCAATGAGCTTGAGGCTGGTGTAACTGTATCTTCAGTTGCTTTTCTTGGTTTTTCTTTACAAGTTTCCAATTTGCACGCAGGCTAAATCAGTTCTCCTTTTATTTTACAATTGTTACTGGTTTTGATTTTCTTTGTTGTCTGCTTTTAATCTGTGGTTAGTACATTTTTGACCTCTTTGGCAGTAATTGATTGTCTTGTTTCTGCTTCTGGGAGAATGGGCATCTTTTGTAGTTTAATTCAGAACTTCTAGGAAGAGGATTTGCAAATTCCTGACCTGTCTTATAAATACAACCAGTACTTCAACGTACTGCTGCTAAGTTTTGAGGCTCATGACTCTGTATGATTCCGCTTCATTACGTTTTCCCACAAATTAGTGGACAAGGTGTTGGTCAGGTTACTTGACAAGAGGTAGGGGGGGAAAAAAAGGGGTTCTTGGTGGTGGTTTGGTTTTGGGGTTTTTTTTAGTCATGTTGTGTGTGTCCCTGCTGTTGGATATATGGATATAACTCTCTTAAGTGCTCTTGAACGGGTAATTGAGAGTTGGTAAATGCTTCGCTGCCTACCTAACGGACAGCTGCTAGAAAGCTCCCAGATGAACCTTTAAGGTCCAAGGTGGATCAGTGTTTAACTCCACGCCTGCTACCATCTCTGGAGGGCAGTTCTGCTGCTCCACAGTGGTGCTGGTGTCTGCCCCCATGCCACTCCCTTCATTACGTTGGCAGAATTTTGAATCAGGGAATTTATGTGGATTAAAACTAACCCTGCAAAGGAAAAAAACCCACAAAACTTCCAAGCAAGGCAAACAAACCCAGTAACAAACAAATCCCAAATCAGTTTCTCCAGTTGTTTTCCTTTGTGATCTGCCCCTTCCCCCTGAATAATTGTGCCAGCCCAGCGGGTCAGGTGGTTTGGGCAGGGAAGAAGAGGGTGTCTTTCAGCAGACAGTGCCTGCAAGAACAGCTGTCAGTGCAGCTCTGGTGTGGGTTTGTGGCTTCAGGAGCTGGAATGAGGCTGTCTGTCAGTTCTGTGCTGCTGGCAGAGGGGTGCTTCTGCTAACTTGGGTTGATTAATCATCAGACCAAGGTGAAGGGGAAGACTGATGGCTCAGAGAAGCAGTTGAGGGACACGTGCTTTGGGTGTTCTCCTTGCTACTTCAAGGGTTAAAAGAAAACGTAGGATGAAAATATATTGAGCCTTTGTCACAGTAACAAGAAAAACCATGAGACATTTAAGCACACACACACGCCCCATCTCCCATCTTCGAGGTTTAGGAGGAACTAAGATTCCTGCTAAGATGTCCATTCTGAGGGAAGTTTGCAAGCACGTCTAAGCACATTATTCTTTATCCTCCATGAAGTTTTGGGAGCATACAGGGTGCTAATATGTGTAGCTTGCCTCGTAGGCATTGGCAAGACTGCCAGTCAGTATCAAAACTGAGGAGCCTGGTGGGTTTACGGCCCCTGCTTGCCTGCAGGAATCGGGCAGCTGTGGTCTTGCCTGTGGTATAAGGCCATAGCTGTCTGCACAGGAAGGGAAGCTGCTATTTTCGAAGGGGCAGTAGGCTGCAGTCCTCTCCAAAACCAGGTGGGTTTCTGAGATCGGGAGGTCTAAAGGAGCAGATGCAATTTGGGGTCCTGTTTCTCTAGAACCATTGTAAGCTTTTATCTTCTGCAGCATATGTTTTTCCTGCAAGGCAGCTGATTAAATATTTGCTCTTTCTTCATGCATTGACTTATTGCTCTGCTTCTGGCGCAGCTTCACTTTTATGTGGGCTGCAGGGAAATAGTGACAGATCTGCCTGACCTCTCTGTTGCAGGGGACCAGGACATGTGATGCGACAATTCTTAATCACCCGTCAATCAAGAAATTCTTGGAATCACCCTCCAGATCGTCATCTCCAGCTAACCAGGGCTCGGACACTCCATCTGCCAACCACTCCGAGAGTGACTCGCTCTCTCAGCACAATGACTTTCTCCTGGACAAAGACAATGGCAACTTGGATGCAGACGAGCGTCTGACAAACAGCCTGGACCAGAGACAGAGCAGAAATACTGCCCGGGTAAAGTAAAACTTGAGTGGTGATCAAGTTGTTGGAGGTGTGTGCTCTGTCTGGACTCGGTGTTGGCACCAGGAGCTCTTCATGTTTTTACCCACCTTGCTGAAGATCTGTTTCTTACCCTCTCCAACCACTTGCTCCCACTCTCTCAGTCTGGCTTTGCTGTAAGGCTAACTGAAGCACGTGTAACTTGGGTAACTCCTCTTAACTCTGTCTTGCCTGACTGAGAGGTCAGCCAGGCAGTGGTGATAGTGTTTGTGCCAGCACAGCTCTCTGCCTTTGCCTCCCTCAGTGTCCTCTGGGGAAGGAGGTGTTTCACAGCTTGAGCAAAGGGGTTTGATGTGCAGGTGGAAGTCAGGTCTGGAAGGGTAGAGCCTGGAGAGAAGAAGAAGATGTGTCATTCCCAGCGGTGTTTTTTAAGTAGTAATGCTGCTGCCTGGCCCTGGGTGCTCGTGGGGACTGCATTGCTTAGGGTGGTTGAACCACTGGAGTTTGGGGTTTGGCCTCCTCAGCAGCCCAGCAGAAAACAGTGATGCTGGTGGATTAGCTCACCCTGGGAGCTGGTAGAGCCCAGGTGTATAGTTTGAGTTGGTTTTATCTTGGTGGCACTGCTTGCTTTTATACCAATATCACTTTTGCTTAACTGGACCAGACTGACCTTTTTTCATTGTTCCCCCCATACCTTTTTCTGTGTTATTTTTGACCTGAATCCATTCCTTCTATGGCTAACCGTGCAGCCACAGAAATGCTTTACCCATTGGCTGTGGTTAGGTCCACGGGGGAGGCTCTGGCACTGGGTGCAGGTGAAATGTGCCTTAGTGGGTGACGTGGAACTCTTCCATTTCCCTCCTTTAAGCTCTGAGACCTGTCAGAGGGGTACAGCCTCTAATCCAAACCAGGGATGGCTGTATCTCATTGCCCATGACTGCATTCTGCAACTGAACAGGTTGCAATAATATGTGGCAGAAAGAGCAAACGTTCTTACTCCACTGAGCAGCACGACACCCTTGATAACAGGGCTGCAGTTTGCTGAAACCCTGCCCAGGGTCCGTAGCAGAAGGCAGGTATACAGTACATAACGGGGACCCACCTGTACTGTAAACCACCAGACCAGTATAAGTTGTGTCTGCACTGGGGCGTTGATGGAGCAGTTGTACTGCTTTGAGAAGGGTGTTGGTACATCCTCAACCAGCACAGCCTATGACCCTGAGGGGGAGTGATGAGAGCAGCAGCCATCCCAACCTTCTGTGGCTCCTTGCTCCAGTTTGGGCCATCAGTGGGTTAAGAGGAGGTGTAGCGGTTCCTAGTGAACCCACTGCTCCCCATGCTGACCCTCGTCTGAGTGCTCACTGGAGTCAGCTCCAGGAAGCTGCAGCACCAGCTCTGCTGTTCACGAGAAGGTGGCCGTCCCTTATTCTCTGGACAGCCGCTTTATCCAACGGTTGTAGAAAAGCGTCTCGTTCCCATGCAAACGACGGTGCAGCCGTCACTGGCACTCTGGGTGGTCACAATACCAATTTACCGGGGAGTCTTGGCCACTGCTTAATAGCTGAGCTTGTGCTCTAAGGTTGCTTAGGCTGGATTTATTATGCCCAAGTCCTGCAGTGGATTTGTAGGCTTACGTAGGCATCAGTGACATGGTACGGCTGACTGCTCTCCCTCTTGAGTCGGGGCTGAATTCCTCTCTCAAGCCCAGCCTTCATTCTTCGCTGTGAAGCAACGCGGGAGTCCCTCAAGGCAGCAGAGGGAATGAGAAAGATTTAGATTTTCAGAAGCCACTCGTGGAGGTTTGGCTTTGTTTCTGATTAGTGACCAACATCATGCCACTCTTTTTCAGACAGGGCAGTGGCAGTGCTTTAGAAACGCAAGCTGAAACCATGGCTCAGGTCCATGGTATGTCGCATAATGTACGCTCAGTTAAGCCATGCAGCGTGCACTTGGCTGGGTACTGTATCATTGCTCCGTGCCTGAGTTGCTTAAACGTGCCTAGATAGCAATTTAAGTATTTTTAGGGATGATTCATTGCTGGTCTCTAATTTAACTACACAGGTTTACTTTTTTTAACAACACCTTTTTCTAGCGCCAAACAAAATGATGTTTAAGAGGAATGTTTGGTTTTTTGTTTGCCTTTTGTTTTTTCTTCCCCTACCCTTAGGACAGTTCGGGTGTTTCAAGCTCTCAAAAACCAGGACAACGAAATGCCGGACTGTCAAATGATGAAACTTCACGGCTTTATGTGAAGAAAACGATTGTGGTTGGCAACGTCTCCAAGTTAGTATTCAGAGTCTGAGAGATGGTCATTTATTTCAGGATTAATTGGAACAGAAGGTTAAAATTAGGAGACAGAAATGCTGGGCTGTCCCATATGAGGTATTGCCCTTGAGTAGTCGCTGTACCTAGGGCTGCTCTCCCCCAGGGTCTGCATGAGGTCTTCTGTGGGAGGAACAGGTGTTGTAGTAATTGTTATATATATATATACATATAATTTTTTAAATACATATGGAGGTTTTAAGATCTGTTTCTCTCAAGGGGAATCTTTCAGCCTTTTCTGACCAGTTAGAAATTCGAAGGTTTTCAGTGAAAATTTTGGAAAAGCAAGTTGTCCTAACGGTTGATTCGCTGTGTCCATAGGAAAAATGTGGGATATTTTTAAAGAGAGATGAAAAGGAAAAAAATCAAAAACAGCCCACCAGAATGAGGAAAATTGTTAAAGTCTAGCACAGTCTGAAGAAATTAGTTTGTACAGATTTTATTTATAATTAAAACCAAAAAATTAACGCAAGTAAATAGACATGAACGTTGAGGAAATCAGTGAAGAAAGGCATTCATTTTAGGAAACTATGGACAGTCCAGGTTTTAACTCTTCACCCTCACACTACTCAAGGTAGTCTTTTCCTCTTGCATAGGAAGTAGCAAACACTTGCTGACAAGACTTACAGTATTAGAATTGCATCTTGAAAATCTGCCTAAGCCTGGACCCGGAAGCAAGCATTGACTGTGAAGTGGCTTATGTGTATAATATGTACAGTGTATGAGAAGAATTGTTATTTTTGTATTTATGGTAGCAGAGTTGCTGCTGATATGTTCTAGTGTGGTTTTGCTTCCTCATATCTCAGAATAAGATGGGAAAAGGGATTTGATGGTGGTAGAATGTTAAAATTAAGCTTCCCTCATTAAGAGCCAAATGTTTAAATGGATGAATTTCACATGTCAGTTGTGCACTAAAAGGGAGGACGTGTTTAGAAGCACAGAGTAGATGATGGGACCTGCATGTGTTTCTCGTCAAACTGTCAGAGTAAGGAACAATGAGCCGAACTGTACAGGGGCAAGGTTCATTTAGGAATTTTACCGCCTCCAATCTTTTTGCCTGGTATTTCCCAAAATACATTTTGTGGTATTTATCTGTTGGGGATTTTTATCTTGTGGTTTTTTATTTCTTTGCCAGGTACATTCCCCCTGACAAGAGAGAAGAAAATGATCAGTCGACCCATAAATGGATGGTGTATGTGCGAGGCTCTCGGAGAGAACCCAGCATAAATCATTTTGTCAAGAAAGTTTGGTTCTTCCTCCATCCCAGTTACAAACCTAATGACCTGGTAGAAGTGAGGTAATAAGGAATTATTCCAGTCACTATTCCAGTCTTTATGCTTGCCAGGCTTACAGTGCCAAGTTTCTTAGAAAGTTAGCAACTTTTCCTGGTTTAGTGTTCCACATCTGTCTTTAACCTCTGGCTTGGATTGACTTACTCCAAAATAATAGTAAAAATAATTTGGTTTCTGTGTAGCAAATGTGCCAACCAATTGTGTTCCTTTTCAATTTCCTACTGAGTGAAAGCATTCAATTGTTGCATTTCGTGCTATTCATGTGAGTTGGTGCATCTCCTGTTGTGTTATGCTGTGCTGTGCAGGTTAGACTTCCGTTGCTAAAAGAGGTGTGTTCTACCTCCCATCTATTCCACTGTGGAAAAGAAAGAGGAGTCTTGGAAAGCTGTTTTGCCCATTGTTTTAATGATCTATGTGTGTGATAAGAAGTATGGGTAAGGCTCAGTAATGTTTCTGAGAAGGCAACCCTGAGCAGGAGAAAGCAAACTCCTTTGTATTTCTTGTATAACATTCTAAATTACACCTGACTACTGCCTTTTTGTGCCTTTCTCAGTTTCCAGTATCTGGTGTCAGTGCTGTTTGTCTTCTTTTTAATCCCGTCTGGTTAATTGATTTCTTGTTGCACAGTCCCAGTCATTGCAGTGAACATTAATGTTCTGGACTAAAAATAGCCATTAAACCTGCTGGGTTGTGTTTCCTTGCAAAACTACATTTGGGATTTTACAGTAACAACAAGCTGAGATACAAAGTAATGGTAAATGTTAGAGATAAACATGCCCTTCCTTTCCAGCTTGGAGAATGACAGTGGCTGAGTTAGCTTTCCTTGTTGTCTGCGTGCCGCTGTCTTGGCGTTCTGTGAAGTGTGTGCCTGCTTGCTACTAGACAGGGAACAGCAGAAAGTGTTTGCAAAGTGCTGCATTGCAAACTCATCTTGCAGCTGTGTCCTAGGAGCTGACCTGGGTTTGGTTTTTTTAGAAGACGTTTGTTTCCTGCGTTCTCTCATCCAAGTGTTTGACTGTTTTCTTCCCTGTCCTCTTGTGCAAAATAAAAGTATGTTTTCAGCTGTCCAAAGCCATAAAGTCCTTGCTTCTGTGATTGCATTCTCCCTGTGGTGAGGAGCAGGCTTGAAGATAGCTTAAGTTGTCAGCTAGAAAAGCAGTCTTTGGCTTTCTGAAAAAGAGGTGGGTGAAAGCGATACCACTTCTGCATCCACAATGTGGATCACCATTTGTTTCCAGAGAACCTCCGTTTCACCTGACCAGGAGAGGCTGGGGAGAATTTCCTGTGAGAGTCCAGATTCACTTCAAGGACAGCCAGAACAAGAGGATCGATATCATACACAATTTGAAGGTACTTGAACAAAATATTTGAGAGAAAGGCAGTTAAATGAGCTCTCCTGCATAATCTAGAAGAGGCTCTGCTTGTGTGTATGCTTCTGCCTTTCTCTGTTGTGTTTATGTTCTGCTGATCAGTTGCATGTGAACAGTTGTTCTGGAGAATCAAAAAAGGTCCAGGAAGACTTCTTACCTTGGCTGCATTGGAGTTGGTGTGGTAGCCAAGGAACCCGGCCTTGCGGAAGCTGGAACTGATCCTGCTCAGAGCAGGAAAGCATTTACCTGTTGT